CGATGTGCTTAACGTCAAACAAACAAAAAACAAATATAATATTATAATACGGACATGGTGAATATTACATTACACTAATGTCTAACACTACAAAGTACTAACATGGTGAATATTACATCACAATAATATATAATAATACAAAGTACGAAGATGAGGTATATTACAACACAATAATATCTAATAATACAAAGTACGAACATGATGAATATTACTATTACATCACAATAATATCTAATAATACAAAATACGGGCATGATGTATATTACTGTTACAACACAATAATATCTAATAATACAAAGTACGAACATGATGAATATTACTATTACATCACAATAATATCTAATAATACAAAGTACGGGCATGATGAATATTACTATTACAACACAATAATATAAAATAATACAAAGTACGAACATGATGAATATTACTATTACAACACAATAATATCAAATAATACAAAGTACGAACATGATGAATATTACTGTTACATCACAATAATATCTAATAATACAAAGTACGAACATGATGAATATTACTATTACAACACAATAATATCAAATAATACAAAGTACGAACATGATGAATATTACCAGTACAATACAATAATATCTAATAATACAAAGTACGGGCATGATGTATGTTAATATTACATCACAATAATATCTAATAATACAAAGTACGGGCATGATGTGTATTACTATTACAACACAATAATATCAAATAATACAAAGTACGAACATGATGAATATTACAACACAATAATATCTAATAATACAAAGTACGATCATGATGAATATTATTTTTACAACACAATAATATCTAATAATACAAAGTACGGACATGATGTATATTACTGTTACAACACAATAATATCTAATAATACAAAGTACGGGCATGATGTATATTACTATTACAACACAATAATATCTAATAATACAAAGTACGGGCATGATGACTATTAAAACACAATAATATCTAATGATACAAAGTATGGGCATGATGACTGTTACAACACAATAATAACTAATGCATTACAAATTACAGAGAGGATGAATATTAATATCTTACGACACAGTCCAGGAACGCTAACCACGAGGCCAAACCCAGCTTTAAAATCTAAGTAAAATTAACCAAAACCTTAACCTACCGGATACTGATACTTCAAAGCAGATGAAGAAGCACCAATAAGTTAATAAACTGAGCGGTTAGTCTGAGAGTTTATAACGGTAAAAATCGAGAGGAAAGTGAAGATACGAATATAAGATTCGAGTAATATAAACAATAAGCTTAAGATCAAAGGAATATTGAAGTGTATGTAATATAATATCTTAATAACTTCAAGAATAACAAAACCATGTGTTTGAATTCACAGTATCATACAAACAAAATATAAATTAAATTTAAAATGTAACTCGGTAATTAACTCATGACATTTGTAGCGAAGTATGCAGTGCAGAAGGTAAGTAATATGTAAAAAAGAATATATGTCGGGAAATGGTATTTGGAAGGTGAACTTAATATTAAACTACTATTTATAAGTATTTTCATAAAAATTACAATACCAAAAATATATATTTCAGTTACAATAATAATTAAAACACCAGTAGGATATATCTTAGTTGAAATAGCAATTAGAGTATCAATTGTATATGTTTCAATTATAATAATAATTATAACACTAATGGGAGTTACTTCATTTATTAGAATAATTAAAATACCAAAAAGATATTTTTCTGCAATAATAATAATTATAATACCGAAATAATATTTTTCTACTATAATAGTAATTAGAAAAATAAGAGGATATATTCCAGGTTACAACAATCAGTACTACAATGAAAATAAATTATGTGATTTAAATTTTGTGTAACGTTTCCTCATACAAGCCCCTTCAGTTTTCAATAAAAATACGGCCTGGTGGTTTGGGCGCAAGTCTCGCAATCTGTTTGTCACGGATTCGAATCTCATCATTGAAAATGTTCGGCCTTTCAGCCATGAGGACGTTATAATGTTACTGTCAATTTCATTATTCGATTAGTCTGCTCCAAGAGTTGACGGTGGATGATGTTGACTAGTTATTTTCAATGATAGATTAGGATGTCTAGCTCAGATAACTCTCGAGTAGCTTTGTGCGAAATTCAACAAACAATGAAAATACATATATTGATTACACGTTCTTTCAAGGCTTCAAAACCCTGCAAAACGTGAATAGATTCAAGAATTCGGATGTCCTTTGATATTTCATAGATTTTACAAAGAATGTGAATACACCACGCCTCATGAATTATTGATGCAAATCGTTATTTTAAATAAAGTGTATAACGAGATAATGTGCTTTATTGACGACACATGATCGAATATGTGTCATGGATTCCTGATAGACAACCACAGTCTACGGTTTCAGTGTTCGACTATGGACGACACAAGACAGATAACAAAACCCTCGTTTAGCTTACTCAACAATTTCGCTGTCTGAGCGTCACTTAGAAATGAGTAGTTCATAGGCCTAAATTACTGCTATACGTTTTAACAAACAAACAGATAAATTGAAACTGAAACGATTTTGATGGAAAAGAAACATCACGTATGCTAAGCTTTTGTTTCATTGAAAAAAAACAATAAATAAATATAGTTAATAAAATATTATTTCACAATGTTAGGCAGCAAAACTGCAGTTACGTGACGATCATCAAGTTATTTCTAATACCAGACTAACGGTCTAGAAGAGTGGTGGCTTTAGTTGGGTTATTTTCAGCTATGCAACAAACAGTGTTCATTTGTTAAATTTGATGATCGTCTTATTGAACCAGCCCAAATAATTTTCTCGATTTTATGTGATGACTTATTTGTTTTAATGTTTAGGCCACACACAATACGTTATTTGTAACACAGAGTCTCGGAAACAATTACATTTTGCTGTTCCTAATTGGTATGACTTTAGCTAGAAGATGTGATAACGATATTGCTATATAGCTTTACGAAAATTAACTTGTTTATGACTGTTGAAGAATAAAGACGTATTAACAGTACACGGTTTATTATCCATGTTTAACTCTCTTTTTTTTCCCTATACAAATGTGGTATAAACAGAATACACACAGTTACCTGGTTTCCGCAATAACGAGAAATAAATTCGAGGGCCTAGTATGTGGAAGGAAAGACAGATTTAGTGGTTTGTTATAGATGAAAATAAAGAAAAGACAAATAAACAAACACTTTACAATATCTGTATAGAAGATATAAAATGGTTGTTGTCAATGTAGTTGTTGATGATTGTGAGTAAAATGAAAATAAATGGATAAAAATGTATTAAAATTTGAAGTAAATGAAAAACAACTGTATCTAAATATATATATATATAATCTGTACCAGAAACAGAATTTAGTTACACACTATTAGTAGGTTAATAAAAGATGTAGGAACGAGGAAGAAACTTCATACTCAAAACTTGACCGTTTCAAACCAGAAACAAATCGATTTCCAAACAACAAAACTGCATCTACAATGTACCTTTCCTCTGTAGCTGGCCCGTCCCAGTAAACATGCTCGCCCTTTCAGCCGTGGGGCATTATAAAGTGACGATCAATCCCACTATTCGTTAGTAAAAGAGTAGTTCAAGAGTTGATGGTGGGTGGTGATGACTAGCTGCCTTCCCTCTAGTCTTAACACTGCTAAATTATGGACGGCTAACGCAGATAGCCTTGTGTAGCTTTGCGCGAAATTCAAAACAAACAAACAAACACTCTGTATCTGACCAATCAAAGCATTAGACAAAATTACGAAGTTCTTACTTATGGTATATATGTATATACTGTATAGGAGAGTGATATTATACACACACACATATATATATACAGTATAGGAAAGTGATATATATATATATATATATGTTATTTGCAACTCACAGAAAGGCCAAAGTCGAACTTGTAACCCAAATATTTTGTAAATAACGATTACTGCTAATCTGTGTTATTTGGACGTTTCTTTAAATACGTGTAAGAAATAATAACATTTCTGAATAAAAGACATTTTGGTTTCATAATTTCTGTGAGACAAAAATTTTTAATGTTGCATTTATGATATATTAATCTCTAACTGCAACAAAACAGCGATTGTATAAACTGCCGATTGTTATGTATTGAAATAATAAATTATTAACGTATAAAGATTAATAATTCGTAAGAGCATTGTTAAATGTTGTATTATTGTAGAATTTATATATTAACGTATTTTCCATTTATTATTACTTTTTCTGTTAATTAAACAGGCCTGCGATGGTTTTATTGTCTTCAAATGTTTACATGTTCTACAGTAATTCTTGTATGCTGAATCCGAAAATGATATCAATTTTTCTCCATCACGTACATATTTTTCACAAAACGTGATATGTACTTGTAAATAAATGAATAATTTTCATTCAAATAAGGTTACATTTCTTTATGCTTAAAATATTGACACCACTGGCTATAGATTTCTCTATATCAATCGCTACGTCAAAGTCTTATCGATCGTTTTAGAACCCACGAGAAACACACCACTAGTATATAAACGGTTAACAGGCCGCATGCCGTGTCATTTCTGGATAGCATTTGTTAATGCGTGCACTTTGACATTATTTTTTTCTTTTCAATATCAGTTATTTGTTGCTATGGCAAGAAGAGGTTGTGTAAATGACCCAAACATATTCTATTATATTTGTGGTAAATGGGTTGTAAGTTTGATCTTACGTGATAGAAAAAATACTAATATTATTTTCGAAGTCTGCGTAGATGAATTATGGAAAATCTGTTATTAAAATCAAAACAAGTTTTATGAAGTATAAAATTCGCAGGCCTGTGTTGTTGGAGAACGTTTTCACATGCGAGGTTTTTGAGGTAATAGCGAATGGTGTTTGTGTTTCCTAGTAGTCTGAATAATACATGTAAGAAAGTAATCAGGTTTGGGAGAAATGGAATGGAAGCTCAGAGATAAAGTAACTGAAATATTATTTTATTCTACAGAGATGTTCCTTCTAACCAGATATTATAAGCAGCGTCGAGAAGAAACTGAACGAAACAATTGGGAGAATTATGATAACAACACCGTGGAACAAATCATGAAAAAACGAGCTGTACAAAGAGAACTTGCAGAAAAACGCCGCCAAGCGGCAACTTGCGGAACGCTTATATATATTTTTGTGAGCGGTTCTTCGCTGGTGCTCCTTGGAGTAGGTTTGACTTGCACCGGCGTTTTCGCCACACAGTTTGAAAATAAAAAAATGCCGTGGCTGGTGACGGGACCAACATTTATTGTGGTAGGTGTTTTAGTGCTTTTGTTGTCCGTTGAAATAATTTTCAAACGACGAAAAGTAGGAAGCACATCAGATGATTCGGATTCGGATGTCGAAGACTCGAAGTATAGACACAAGCGAAAGCCAGCAAGAGGATGGATAGGACAGGAACATAGTTCTATAAATGATAAAAAGGTGGCGCCAGCTCCGATGGATCAAGACAGCAAATTGCAGTTTCAGCAAAAGTGTGTTCCATCCCTTGTTCTGAGTCCAACCCTTTTGGAACAAGCTTCGAAACCATAAAATCAGTGTGTGGTTTTAAGGAAATCGTAATTACAAAGTAAATACATGTATCATCGGTGTAGTTATAAAAACACCAAAACGTTGTTGTGTTCCTTTCTTTTTCGTCATAAAAACGTCAGAGTGATGTTTTTTTTTAAGGTAAAGTCTGAAGTTATTGTTTGAATTAAAAAATGACTTATAATAATAATATCGCTACGTTGTTGTATTTAAATTATTAAGGTTTAAGTTCAAACATGAAAAAAATCATGTTGTTGGACTAAATGCGAATAGAGATTGTAATGGACTTTATTTACACTCAAATGTCGTACTTTTTTGTGGTGGTCACGTGATAGGAGGACATGTACAATCTTATTTGAGTAACCTTTGCTTTGCTTATTTTTAGAGCAAAGCCACTTTGGACTACCTGTTGTATCTACCGCGGGGAATCGAACTTCAGATTTTAGCGCTGCCCCACCGGAAGATATTTGATTAACAGCATGGCGTTCCTATATACTCGGCTGACGCCGTTATTTGAAAATTTTAGTTTTACAGTTTTTCTGAGTTATCACCAGATAACTAACTAAAGTGAAATAAAACATCAAGGAGCTAGCGTTTAATCTCGATGAAGGTTCATTTGGACAAAATTAATTGGCTAACGGGGGAATTTAAATTGTTTTTAAGAAAGCTTCTCTTAAGCCCCAAAATAAAAAAATATAAAAACGTTATTTTGGTCATAAATCTACACACACACTTTACTTTTTTTTATGGAATCAAAACCACAAGTTCCATTCTTAACCTAGTTCTCTAGCGTATCAGTGTAATTTGGTAATTCTAATTACAAATGAATAGTTTGCATGGTAACTTCTTTAACACTTGTGGTAGATTTAACAATGTAGGACAAAAAATTAGCTTATGTTGTTAGGAGGTGAGGTGTACTGATAGGGAACAGAATCAATGTTTTTATTGAATAAAAATTCAAACAGCCAGCAGCTAATAGATAAATATCACATTACTGTCACCTGGAACATATCGTGTTATGAATGTCTGGGGTGTAACGTTGCTTACAAAGAGACAAGTATATCTAAGCAAGGTAACCACACGGTACACTGATACTATTAGCAACAAGTGTTGCAAAGCATTGACTTATCGCATACACATGACTAATGGTATTCTGGTCCAACAGCACAAGTATTTCATGAAAAATATTTTTTCGTTAATTTTCCCAGATAACCACAGAGTACTTGAATGTGAGATGTAGATGAATTCATTTTGTATTTCTTTGTTTACACAAACTGGAAGTCAGGCTGGCTACTCTACCTACCACACATCTGATAACAGTTGTTTTATCGAAACACTGGCCACATAATTATCTTTCCTTTACAGCAATTTTAACCATCTTTTCCTATTTTCAAATGTCATCGCATTGGGTTTTTATTCGTCATGTACTGCTTAATTCAATAGGGTTACAAAAGATAAATACATAAAATTAATATATTCCCACTTTTAGTGCTGCTTAATGCATTTAAGTTTTTTACTGCCGTATTCGTAATTAATAAGTAATAACTAAGCAGGTATCTATGACTAATGAACGTTGTCAAAAGGCTCAAATTATGTACATTATATCCAGTAAAAGCCAACATGTAATTCTAGGCATCTGGTCAAGATGAATGTTCATATTGTATGACTGACGTCAACTGCATAAATACCATTGTTATTAGTCAGTGCAGATAAATTTAATTCATTATTAAAATATATTCATAAGATTGACGCCATATCTCTAATTTCTTCAAAATAAGAGTCGTTTTAAACATCAGCTTCTTAGTATTATATTATTGTTAGGTGGGAAATATCAGAACAAGTTTCATTGGAATATTTAATACTTTATTTGACAGATTATAATTTTTAAATTTAAGTAAGCTACCATTTTTAAAAGAGTCCTTGATAAAACTATTTTCAAGATTCTTCGCACCAGAATTGGTTGTCAATAGTAGCAATTAAACTAGTATTTGAAACATTACCAAAGTCATTAAGTTTGGGCTACCAATGTTTATTGGTTTATTTTATTAACAAAATATGTTATTTTATTTCAGTGTCTTTTATAATTAAGGTTAAATTAAAATCTTTGGTTTAGAGTAAAATTATAATTTTGTTGAGCTATTTTTTGCACTTTACATAAAAAGTAACAATTTATAAATTCCAAACTAGTTATTGCAACACCAAAATTATGAAGGTTTTTTTTTTGGGGGGGGGGGGGGTCAGAATTTCTACATAATTAAATCAAAAGTAAATGATGCTACTAAACATTTACTTCATATGTGCTGTTTATGTACTAACTATAATTATCATCTTATTATTTAATTTTTTGGTTGAATGTTAAATAAACAGTCACGTGCCCCATCCGCTGTTTTACTCGTGTGTTCACTTAATTTTGATAGAGCAAAATTAGGTCTTGAAAATATTAATTCAGTTTTATGTTCCTCTAGCTGCAACATATCGGATTGCTATTCAGTTTGCTTCAAATATATGCCGTTAGTAATAGAAAGGGTTTCAGTATTTTGGTGACATTTACATTTCTAGCAATTCTTGTTGGCAAGTTGCAGGAAATTCTTTTTTCTTGTGGGTTTTCTTGACGTGCTACAAGCTAGGGAAAAAAATCGACGAACCCGTTAAGTGGCACACAACTCTCTTATATTCCCTAATGTGTCAGCCGTAAGTTTATGGACTTATAAATCTACAATACAGGGTTCGATCTCATTGATGGGAAGAGTGCAGATAATCTACTATGTAGCTAAAACAAACAAACAAATTGTTTATAGTTTTTACTCTACAATGAATGATAATAGTATTAACATTTTGTAAAGATATCGATCCAAAGAAACTTTAAAATAGACATATAAATAGTTCATAAGTTTCGTCATTGCAAATATATATATATATATAAACTTCAGCCGATAGATAAAAATTGTGGTACTCAAATAATATGCCAAGTTAGAAGATTTATGGGATCCTATACAGGTCTACGTACCATATGGTATAAAAGAAATGAGAAAAACAGAAAATGTAAGGACTAATTGGGATTTAATTCTTCATTTTATACACCGTTTATGATATGTTTTACAAAAAACATTTGAGTTGGTCAATAATACAATAATACATATTAATTACAACACGTGTACATTGCTTTTAGTTTCGATAACAAAGAAAAATAATGTTTATTATTTATAAATCAGAAGAAAAAAAATTGTCTTTGTTCTACGTCAATTTACATTACACGGAGTATTTATTCACGCACAGATACCTCTTTGGTTCAAAGGGACAAAGAAACCTTTGGAGCGAAGCAGGGGGACAACATCGTTCCGTATATTAGTCAAAAAACCACGTGACCACACTTCTAATGTGGTAAAAATGTGAAAGCTCAAATGAAAGTTTTTGTTTCCTGATAACGTTTCATCAATGTCAGAACTTTCAAAATATTCTGATATCATTCATCAAGTCTGACAACTGAGTGAAATTTTTATCATATCTAAGCACGTTCAGCATAACGGAAAGTTAGTCAAAGAACCACGTGACCACACTTCTAATGTGGTAAAAACGTGAAAGTTCAAATTAAAGTTTTGGTTTCTTAATAACACATTACCAATGCTAGAATTTTCACATATTCTAATATCGTTCATCGAGAAGCTGTAAAGTGATAAAAATATACATTATATCTTAAGCACCTTCGTAAGAGCTTGTCACCCATTGGTCACCCCTGATAGTTAAACAGAGATCATAGGAAATTCCAATAAGTGTCCAAACGCCCTTTTCATTTTCATATGAGATTAAACTATCAAAATACATTTTACAATAAGTCCATTAGTTTAAACACATTTTACTATAAATCCATTAGTTTAAACACATTTTACTATAAGTCCATTAGTTTAAACACATTTTACTATAAGTCCATTAGTTTAAACACATTTTACTATAAGTCCATTCGTTTAAACACATTTTACTATAAGTCCATTCGTTTAAACACATTTTACTATAAGTCCATTAGTTTAAACACATTTTTTACTCGACACATAAACTTCTAATTATATAGTATTTATTTTATCTATAATTTTCCTTTAGTAAGTTACTAAAACTTCGCCTAATTATCACAAAACACTTAATTATGTTTATATTCTAAATCAACGAAACTTTTAGTCAGAATTAACCACGGGTTTGGAACGAGGCATGACACAATTTTGCCTTATTGGAATATAAAATATTCAACTAAAACACTAAATAAAGAATCGGCGCTTCTGAAGAAATTATAGAAAAGCATTTACAGCATTTTATAAAGTCACAGATACCCTGAAGCAGCCGTAATGGTCAAGCATTATGTTTTTATTTGACCTTAGCAGCTACATATCTTGTGCTTTTTTTTTAGTATTGTATCAGACTAATAAGTTACTCTGTACTCTAGCTAATTTTTTGAGTAATTTCTGAAGATGTTCAGATTTGTTACGTCAAACGTAATGTTAAGTTCTTTAGTTTCTGTTTGGCACTTGGATCACATGTCTAGATACATATATATAATTTTGTTTTGATGATACCTAACATTAATGACAAAGATACTGTTTTTAAGCTTTTAAGGTTAACAGTACAGCGATTTGTTGTTCCCACACGATTGAACATGAAAAACATACACTACCGAAACAAATGAAGAAACCATAAGCAAACTCATTGACATACTAGTCTGTTAAGTTAAAGTTTTGTGTTTCATTTGTTCGCAAAAGTAGCGTATTTTAAGCCTGATTTGGTTCATCATTCAGTTTTTAAATACTGTATGGAACGTGAACTGTAGTACAGAATAGCTTAAAAGGAAAATTAAATTATGTGCATGAAAATACACAAATCTAAGGTAGAATATTGAGTTTAAATCAAGTTTTGATGTTTCGATGAGTGTGGAATAAAGAGATATTGTGTGTTTGTATATCAAAACTCTGAAATAAAAACATAATGCTTTCACTAACACCAGGAAGAAGATTTAAAACATGTATTTTTGTCAGTAGTATCTTCTATTGAATATAGTATCAACACATAGCTCCATCGGGAGGTTTACAATATGAGGCATATTCATTTTGATAACGTACGACGTTATTTATTAATACTTCTTAAAGAAGAATGCTTAATGTAC